TATATATATATATATATATATATACATATATATAATTGTCACTTGAGCAAATGAGTTCTTTTGAAGTGGTTAAGAATAGATGAAATCATAGGAAATCAAGTCAGAGTCCTGCAGTTCATGGATATATGCTGAGCTGGATGTCCTTAGGGCAAACTTGAAAAAGCTATTGACATTTACTTATGACATTTTCACACATGGATTCGTTTAAGGACATCCCACTGCATGCTTAATGCTCCACATTTGTATATGGTTGTGTGCATCCTCTCATATCCCCTCTATCTGTTTATTCAGACATAAAAATATTGTCTCGTCTGAAAACGTGTAAGGAAAATATGCAGGATTTTTTAAATCCAAATGTTCTAATTGTCAGTCAAATAAGCAGCACTTCCCTCAACATTCATGGTGCTGGAAAAACTGGAAGTTCACAAAAGATGCTTGAGGACTTTGGTATTCATCTACTTGTCTGAAGCTTTTTTGTCAGCAGTAATTGTGTGAACACAAAGCTATACATGATCATTGAAGTGAAGGGTACCATTCCACAGGAGAAGTGCTTTCTTGCACTGAGTTCTTCATCTCTTGTGGTTTGTTGAGTAAAGGTAAGTGGGTGCAAGGACACAACCAGTGGCAACTTTAAATAGCTCTATACCAGGATAATAAAAAAATCTATATAAAATCACTGTTAAAACTAGCCTGTTTRTTTTAGACACAGTTTTACTCAATTCTTTACATTGCTTTTGTTCTTGTTTTGTTCGGACCTTATCCTTTTCTAATTTGGTTTAGGAATTAAAAAAATAAAATCTTACCTGAATCAGACGTGCTGCAGGAACTTGAACCAGGCACAACTGTGCTGTCAAAGTGAGATGATTAATCACGAGTATTAACACTAACAGTATGACTGATTGATAAATTTCATAATCAGTAATGACAATCCTGTGCTCTGCATGTGCTTTTACATCAAAAGGACTGTGCTTATTTTTCAGCAAATCTTTTTGAAAATGATCAAAACAGTATTATTTGTTTCTTTCAGTGCCATTATACATTCGATGGGGCTGTTTTGCAGAATCTGGTATGTGATGTTTGACTAGTTTAAAGGGAGGAGCTACTTCTGTATGGATGACTTGGGCTGAAGGCATTATCACAATGTGTGGTGGTCCTAAATCTAAAGAACTCCTGCCTGGGCACTGCAGTACATTGTATTAAAAGCTATCTAGTCTCTTTTCAGTTTGGGTCTCTGCTGCCCTAGCAGCTTGCATCAGGTCAAACTCTTACATGAACGTTGTAGAGTTAGTTAGCATACAGTTCTGCATTTCAAGCGAGTTACTGTCACTATAGTAAAAACCTCATGTTTTCTATTTTTACTCGTCTTTCATCTAAAAGAATTCCATCAGTTGACCTGCTGTGACAGGTCAAACACCACAGGAAACATCCAGTTTAAATTGTGAAACGACGAGTGCATCACGCATACAGCTATTGCCAGACTGATGAATAATGGAGTGAGCTTTAGAGAGGCTTGGTTTAGTTGCTGTGTGAACGTCCTCGAAATGTGTGCACAACCAGTGTATGTATGATTAATTTAATAGATTTGTAGTACAAGGAACTTTGAAAGGAGGGCAACACTTGTGTGACACAGCTTTTGTGCACTCAGTGAAGTGCATTCAGCAAATTGTGTTTCAGCATTAATTTCTTTTATTTGGACTTCATTTACTCCTTTTTTGAAAATTTGGGCTCTTTAGATGCTGATATTTTTTAGTCATTTTGAGGTGAACTTTTGGAAGAGTTTAGCTCTTTAGCATGATGCACATTTTATTTTTAGCTGTTTGTATAATTATTTTAATCTCCATGTACTTTTTGTCAGACCTCAACACATTGAGAGAATTTTTGTATCAGCTTTAGTGCATGTTAGATATATAMACCTGTATGAGATTCTGAGAGTATGGTACACTTAAGCAGCAATACCACCATTTTATGATACTAATATAAAAACAACAACAACAAAAAAATACCAGGATGTTTGATTTTAGAAAACAAAACAAAACAAAATACTTTTAATGTTATGTAATGCTGCACAAATATTGTTTTAGACATATTCAGCTTTATGAATGTTAATAAATTTGTGGCTGAGTTGTTCATAATTTTTCATTAACTTGCACATTTACATATAAAACAAAAGTGAGTGTACACATTATGGCAGCTCACTTAAAACACTAGTGAACCAGCAGACTGTATAGTCGAGGACCTAAATAAAAATTAATAATTAAAACTAAATAAATGTAATTTTAGTTCTAAATAAAAGTGCTTATTTTGCAAAATGCTAGTTATTTTCTATTGAAATAAATAAATTATAGATAAATAATAAAAAACTACAGTAATAGTATAAAAGAAACAATACATGGCTTTTAAAAACCATAAGATTCCCTAAAAAAGGAACCAGCCCTTGCTTATGTTTGAGTAGAAGCTGATGAATGTCCAGCTGAAGCAACAAATTACATTTTCTTAGTCAGCACCTCGGTCTATCTGCAATAAAAAAAATCTAACTGGCCAATAAATTGGCCGGACGATTTACCGTCACTGATTTCCTTTTAATTTTGGGAGATTGGCTGATACTTGGATAAGATTGGTGGAAAGGATCAGCTTCTCATCTACCTCCAGAAAGGTCTGAAAATCAACCACTGTCCCCTTTTGCTCTTGAGAGTACTACCAAATGTCCAGTTAAAACATGTTTGTATTGTTCAGTGTCTTTCGATAAAATAAGATTGGGCCGTTAAAGGTGTATTGTAACCTTACAACACATGATGGTGTTGGTTATTTAAAATTCAGGATCTGCCAAAATCACAATCAGACTTTTTAAAGATCATTGGGCCTCATGCAAGAACATGTTCGTATTCTTMTCCTAAATTTCTCTTACTTTTGTTCGTACAAAGGGTTCRTACGAACATGTCACATCAGATTCAACAAACTCTTCTATCTTCAGGAAAAGCGTGTAAAAGAGCTGCGTAAATTCCACCTGTTCTATCCAGCTGCTCGTGCATGCGAGAGGAGATTAGCATAATTACCACCCCAAATACACCATATAAGGCTATGTTTCTTGCCTCAGATACAAGGAAGTGTTCATTCATTCATGAAAATTACAGCGAAAACTAAAAAGAAAAACTTTACGAGTTCAGAGATTGAAGTCCGTCTGTCAGAGATCCAGAAAAGAAAATCTGTCATTTTTAGCAGATCAGCTGTGGAATAAAAAGAGCTGCTAAAAATATAAACAACTGTGTTAAATCATTTTCATTTATTCAGAAGACACAGCGCTGCGCACCGTACCACCCCCCCTCCCCCCGCGCGCTGCGGTGGTCTCAGATGCGGGTTTGAAATAAGCATTTTAAAATGTTTTCAAAATAAGTCTGGCACTTTGGAGAAAACCTAGGACTCACTGGAGGGATTATATTTCTCCTCTGGTCTGGGAACGTCTCAGAGTCCCCCAGGAGGAGCTGGAAAGTGTCGCTGCGGAGAGAGCGGGGTCTCCTGCTGCCCCCCTGCCGCACCTGATTGCGGATAAGCCGGCCGGACGGACAATTTATATTGTTAGTCTAAATTATTACATTTAAAATTATAACTCTAATTCAAGCAGAATAGCCTATTGTCAACATAATTATGGAGTGTGATTTATTTTCAACTCAAAATATCTTCAAACTAATGAAATATAAAGTTATTAGTGAAGAAAACCCATCTGGATAACAGCAGACTGACTGCTCGTAAAATATACAACAGGTCTGGACCACACGTGAATTTTGTTCGTATCTGAAGAAAATCTTAGAATACGAAAACATTGGTGAATGCCACAAATTCTCCTAAATCACTCGTACGCACAACTTAAGAACAAATCTGTGCGTACCAACGGTTCTTGCATGAGGCCCATTGAGTGACCAGAAAACTGCAGTCACTTCACCCCTAGATTAAATATATATTGGGTAGCTTGAACTTTATGCTAATGCTGGTGATGTGTAAGATGTTGGAGTAATACCATGGTTCAAAAGAAAGTGATTAAAATAAATATCAAGTATTTTAAAACCATATATTTAACACATTTTGGATTTTATGAACAAATTAGAAGCATCGACTGAATAAAAAATCTCCTTCACAAAAATGAACTGCTTCAGTAACACAATTAAAAAAAATCTAAATTAGCTATTTTTAACGTAACCTTAAGTCTGCCCTTGTTTAGAAACGTAGCCAGCTCAACTAATGAGGCAAAATTTAATGAGATGCTGTCAAATTGTTGCACCAAATTTGAGAGAAAAAAAAAAGGGGGGGGGAATAAAACAACAAAACAGTGTTGCAGCTAAGGGTCTAGGAATGTATTCAGTTGTGGCGTGTCAGAGCTGCAGAATAAGCTCCCATCATGTGTTTTACTTTTAAAAATAGCAATTATGTTGGTACTCTGCCATCAAAGCAATAGGTAAATAAAGCTCATCAGCTGTAGTGTAGTGGTGCACAGCGAAGTGGGTACTTTAAAAAATATAA